TCATAACAGTGTTATTAGATTCTATATTATTGATAGAACAATTTGAAAAATAGTGTCGAAAAAAATTTGTTTTATTTTGAGTAGGATTGTTTTAAACATTTTAATATTTTAATTACATTAGAAAGTATAATATAGAAATAAAGATAAATATTTCTATATTAATATTTATGTAGAAGGTAAATGGAAAACGTCAAACATAGTAGTAATGTTTTTTCTCAACTTAACTTTGATTTTGAAAACTCTTTTAATCACTTAAAAGACGAATTCGGAGTATGTGTTTTTTTCGCAAATTTAAATTTATCAAGCATTTTAAGAATTAGTTGGCACTCTGAAAAAGAAGAATATGGTCACATTTGCCGTGTTTCTGGCTCTATGGTAACACTACGAAACTCGGCGCTTTTTACCGATATGTTTTGGTTATAGTTTGGTAAAATTAAAAATAAATTATGATTTGTATTATGAGGAAAATTTTGACAATTTTATCATACCTCAGAGTGTGGCATAAATACCATTTATTCAGTTAAATTTACTTTTCAGTTTTGTATTTTTAACTGAATGTGTGGTAACAAGAACTAAACCAGTATTTCCGATAAGCCGTTACCAAATGAACGGAAAAATTACCAAATGAATAGTTAAAATAAAGTATATTTTGATTTTATTAACCAAAGTTATGGTAAAAAGTTCTCCACGAAAGCAAATTTCTCCCAATACTTGATCCAAGAGTTCCCTTGTCTTCTGGATTGGGATCAAAATTACAAGGCTACGGAGTTGAACACGAGAATTTTTTTCAGTCTCTTTTTCTTTTTTTTAAAAATTGACGGGAATCAGCGTGGTAAGTAATTGAATTTCTGCATCAGCTACCAAATATTTCAAACTTTAGCAATCTAAAAATATTGGTTTCACCTTAATTTAGAGACATTAAAAAAAAACAGGCATTTTTAACAAAACTTAATGTTTCAGCGGATGGAGCGTTTGCCTCCCAATAAGGTGAACCGGGTTCGAATTCCAGCCATGGATGGTCGATACGAATTTCGTACCCGGATTGCATCGACCACAGTGCTGACATAAAATAGTTAAATATCCTCAGGGGTAGATGGATCATGGGTTAGAGTCATCTTGCCATGAGGCTTACCGTGGGAGGTTTTTGCAGTTTTCATGAAGTGCATCTTGACTACAAAACTGGTGGCAACTACTTTACACCAAAGCGGTGTTGAACCAAAGACAGTTCCTGGCGTAGCAAAACGTAAGATTGCTGTTTTAAACTACTCTGTGTAAATTGGCTGCTACTAATTTTGGTATGCAGTAACACAAATATTTCTAATTACAGTAAGATGAGCCGTGGTGGCTCAGAGGATAGAGTGTTCTCTTTCCAATGAGGTGAACTGGGTTCGAATTCCAGAAATTCCATACGAATTCCACTCCCAGCTCGTACCGATCACAGTGCTGACGTAAAATATCCTCAGTAGTAGATGGATCATGGGTTAGAGTCCCCTTGCTGTCAGGCTAACTGGGGGAGGTTTGTGGTTTTCCTCTCCTTGTAACGCAAATGAGGGTTAGTTTCATCAAAATGTCCCCTACGAAGGCAAATTTCTCCTAATACTTTATTTACGAGTTCCCTTGTCTTCTGGATTGGGTTCAAAATCACAAGGCTACGGAGTTGAACATTAGCAGTCGTAAACCCCAAAAATATGGTCGGCTGTTCAACGATGGTTATAAGAAAAGAAAACAAAACAAAACTGAATGTTACAAATAAAGGAAGGATATTAGTAATAATAAGTTTTAAAAAATATTATGTCGATCTGAATTTTCACAATTTTAAAAATAAACCACTTTAATAATAAAATTTTAAATTGATCAATTTAACAGAAAGAACTGAACCCATTTAAAATTTACTTGGCCAATCAAGCATTTTAAAGTTAGAATATAAAATGTTTCATCTATTTTTAAAAGAGTAGAATTTATTAAAAAAAATTAGAAACTGTTGTTTTTTTTTGTCGATTCGTTTAAGTTAAAAGTAGATAACAAGAAAAGGAATTTGTAATATTTGAAGTGGTAATAAATTCGTTTAATTTCTACTACAAGAATTGATAATTTTTAAAACTAAAATCCAAATATCTTAAATGTATTTTTATTAGCAAAATCCTTCCTATTAAATTTCTCCTATCAAAATCTTATCAGTTATTACGTATACACGTAAAAGATCATAAATCTAATAAGAATACTTAATGTTTTTACGTCTGATGTCATAGAGGAAGAAAGAGTGAGATATATTTAAAAAAAATAAACATTTTATCTTATGAAAAATATAAACAGGAGAGTTTTCAGCGTATAAAGTTCTACACTGATGCGACTCATCGCCTTTAGTAGAATAACAGAAATCTTTCTATCACAATAAACATAATAAGAAACATTTAAGTTCTGCATAAATAAAGAAGCAGTTAAAAAATTAGTTGGAAAAAATTCCATATTTAAAGTAAAAATAACTGAATTTATTTAGGAGGAAAAAAAACATTTTTAATGGGGGAAAAAGTATATATGAGTATGACATAGGCGTTGAAGATATTTGTGATAGTTAATATAACTTTGTGAAAATTAGTAGGACAACCAAGCCATACAGATTTTATGTATGAAAGTTGCAGGTTTTTAAGTAACTTAATTTTTACTTGTATAAAATTACGTGATTTCAAAATCTACTATAACTAAAACTTTCTTAAACTAACTAACTATTCCAAAAATTAAGATAAAAATAACTAGTTTCATTTATTTGTTGGATTACTTTGTTTATTTATTTAATTAAAATAGTTCATTTTCACGCTGTTTTGCATAAGTTAAAGTATTTCACCCCAAGACTTAAGAATATTTCAAATATATTAAGTTTATAACATATAAAAGTGCATCGCGGATTTTAAAAATTATAGATTTTTTCTAAGTATCTTCAGTTAAATGTTCAGTAAAATACCGAATGACTACCATTCGGCTGTCGAATAGCCAGGAAAATTTATTATTCGGCCAAAATCATCATTTGGTGAATAGCTAGTGACAATCAATTTCCATTTGTAATAGTTAGTATTCTAGCAATAAAACAATTTCTATCATATTAAATTTATCAAACATTGTTTGAAATTTATCGTAAAATGTTGCATGCGATTAGTTTTTATTTTTGATAATTATTGCGATGATGAAGGTATAATCCACAATTTCAAAAGTTTGTTATAAAAATATTTAATTATAATAAAAATCAACATTTGCTCTTTCGATGGTAAAAAGTATTATATAGAAGTATTAAATGGAGAATTTTGTGACAAATAGTTTAACATCAATCATTAATTTTAAGGACAGTACATGCTCTTCGAATACTTTGTTTACTTCTTGAATATAAATACTTTATTTCTCCAGAATTTCGCATATAATAAAGTATTTCACCTCAAGACTTAATAGTGTTTCAAACTTATTGAGTACATATCATTTAAAAGATACAGTGTATTTTAAAAGAGTTAGATTTTTTTATTATCATAAGTTTAATGTTCATCAAAATACAGAATAATTAGCATTCCGCGGCCGAATAGTCAGGAATATTTGTTATTCAGCCAAAATTATCATCGTGAATTTCTTGTGATAATTAGTTTCCATTTGTTATTGCTGGTATTCTAATAATAAAGACATTTTTATCTTATTAATCAATCATTGTTTGAAATTTATTGTTCAAAATTGTTGGTGATTAGTTTAAATTTTTGATAATTATTATGATGTTAAAGCATAATGCACTATTTCAAAAGCTTATTATAAAAACATTTAAATATAATAAAAATCAATACTTGCTCTTTCGAAGGTATAGAGCATTATGTGGCAGGTTTTTAAACTGCAATAATTAATAGCAGAACGTGCATGACATATCTACATTTGATGTAGTAAGCTTGTTGTGTTGTTTATAAACTGCAAAAAGAAATTTTGCATTTGAAATCAAATCAGAACATTATCCCCCAATATCAAATGTAGAATGGCTTTTAATAGACTGGACTGTTTTTTATCCACAATGTAAAACCAGAAATAACTTAATTTAAAAAAATAATAATAAAAGAGTTAAAAGATAGCGAAAGAAACGCCTTCGATTGTCCAAACTATCATAAAATCGCGAAAGATGAATGTTCTAAAAGGCGTGTTTCAATTGATACTGACCTTTTTTTTCTTCTTTCTCCCAACTTCATTCATCCTTTCCATCAACCACCCCGGTGTCAGAACGCGAGATTTGTGCAGGTAACGATCCAATTTTACAGAGACACGTTTTGATATACAGTTCTCTGCTAAGCACGTGGTCTCATATTAAATAATGTTTGAATATATATTCTCGAATAGCTCTGCTAACGCATTATAAGTAGTAAAAAGAAATGGCAGTTGGGAAAACCACGCAAAAAATAACGTTGTCTTTATAATTTAAATAATTTTTATCGATGGAATTGAAAATGTTCACATCGACGACTAAATTGCTTGATATTTATGAACTCTTATTGTAAAATTGAGATTAAATTATTTAGTCCTACATTGATATATATTTATTTCGTGCATTGGAATTTAACTTTATTTTTGAAAATTTTGTTTAAATGTTTCGAGTAAATAAATAAATAAATAAAAATAGTATACTAAAACTCCTTGAATTATATAATTTAAAACGTATAAATAAATGGAATTATAGATTTAAGATTTATAGATTTAAGAGTTATTGATTTAAAAATATAGATATGAAGTATGATGGATTTTGTACTAACAATGATTTAAGGAATTTCAGCAATTTAATATTCTGAAGATAATTAAGTAGATGATAAAAAAAAACTTAAACATAATTAAACAAACATGGAATAAAAAAAAAATTTCTCCTTTTTTTATCAATATCAAATAAATGATACTTTTTGAATACGGAAAAAAATGTGAAATGAAAATATGCAAATGTTCTGGAAAGATTCATTGTATAAAATGTTTAAAGATACTGCAGGATTATCACTTACCCAGCCATGATCCTTTCTTTGGCGATGAGTCAAATCTGTACAATGAGAAGAAGATACAAAGCGGCGAGAAACTCCGCGTTCTGCGGCGAGTCTCTTTCGCCGCCGTGCTTTGAATAGTGGCTGCTACCTATGCGGTATCTGGCATTTTATAGATCGCCACATTTGGCTACTTATCACCTTTTCATCCAAAAACTTTCAATCGATTAAACGAGGTAAACTTACTCCCTTTTATCTTTTTCTTCCTCTTCGTGGAGGAATTTCACGAGGAGTATTATCACTTGGCTACAATTTGAAATGAATGGCAGATTGTTCTGTTACATTTGCCTCTCCCAATCATTTGTTGGCGAGAAATAATGAAGAATATTCAAATTTAGAGAAGAATAATAAAGTTTAACAAGAAGTAACAGCCTAAGCCTGTGAACATTCAATTTAGTTAAATGTTGTATACAACATAATAATATTCCATTTAATAAAGTGATAGGCGATAGAAAATGATCTAATTAAAAAATATCACCGATAATGTTATATCTTAAAGATAAGAATACGGAATTATTGTAATGTCAATGACTCATGTATGTTATAGTTTTTAGGATTTATTCTTATATTACTTAAATTTTATGTTTTTACACATCTTATCAGTAATAATAATTGATACGACATTTTAATTATACTACTACTAAATTTATCAAGAGAAAAATTTGAAAAATTTTTCATATCGTAATTGGACAATTTATTGATAACTATTTTCTCAAAGATGAAGTTTTAAAAATATATGTATGTATACATAGGGAAAGTATGTAATTCGGTAAGAAAAAATATCTACACTCTGAAAAACTGAAAAAAATTTAAAAAACGAAGCAAGAAAATAAATTGATAAAAAGGCAGAAAAATGCAGAGAGGAAATTAAATAGATTCTTAATATACAAAAATAGACTATTTTGAATAGAATACTTCATTTAAATACTTTAAAAAGATTCTTAATTAAACAGAAGCTGGCAACTCATCTCAAAGTTTGTACTAAAGTTAATACCGAGAATTAAGCTACGAATTAAACAACTCAATTTAGTACAAAAGCTCACCTATTTTCTTTCTTGCATTTTGCGAGTGTGTGATTTTTTTTTAATAATAAGTGTTCTTATAATTGCTTACCTAGTGTGTGTTTTAACATGGAATTATTTTAATGTCAATGACTTACGTTAATTTTAATTTTGGAGACAGTATTTTCATTATTGGATTACGATGCTATGGTATTATAAATGAATGTCTTAAGGCAGAGGTTCCCAAAAAGCATTCGAAGGAACTTTTGGATTCCATGTAAGAATCACAGGACTTTTTTTTTCTTTAACTAGGTAAGATTTTTGAAACCTGCAATGATATTTATATCTAAATGATAATACACTATTTATATTAAATATTTTGGTTATTTTTAAGAAATTATTTTAATAAAATCTAAGTGAAAGAAAATAGTTAATTTTAAAAATATTCATTTATTCTAATAACAATGCATTAAATAAATTATGAAGGGAATACGCATTTATATAATAACAAATTGCATTAGCATTTCTAATGGAACTTTTCAAATCAAAATAAAATAACTAAACTCAACAAAGAAATACGTTTAATCAATGGCAATTCTCAACAAAAATTCTTTTTCACGTTCTCTATAAAATTTCTTTTTCAATGGAAACCATAATTCATCTTGTTTTACTCATTTTTACTTATGTATGCACCAAAAATTTATTCAGAACTACAATAGATGCCACTCCACGCCTGGAATACCTTCAGTCTAGCATAAAATCAAATTTTAAATCCGTTAATGATAAAACTGTAAAAAAAACCATTCTTTATATTACATATTTTTACAATAATAACTAGTTTCTCTTTGGGTAATATGCTCATAATTTTCAAAATAATTAGCAGTCTCTCCTCGGCTAATATATTCTCAATTGCAAATAAACTTTATTTATAATATCTGGGTTCCGTCAAAGAAGGAACTATCATTTAGGGGGCCATTGTTGAAAACAATGAGAACCGATGACTTAAGGTATGCCAAGACAAGCCAAATTTTCATTTTATTCCCAGGATCGTTTTTGTAAAATGCTTTTTGTGGACGTTAAGATGATTTTGTGTATTGCTGTTATATTTGGAAATATCAGAAACATAACAACCAATCTGGAAACAATACTAAGAAGTATTTTGATGCAAATATCACGATCGTAAAAAATTTTTACTTAATACAATACTGCCCAAAAAACTTCATTTATTTCGTTTTGGATTTCATAAGTTAAACCTCAACAGTAATAAGGTTATTCCATAGTGACTAACGTAACATTTACAGAATTTTGACATAATTATTTATTGAAATATAAATAAGTAAATATAATATCGTCCTGTTCATGAACATTTATGATGTACACAATTAATATATTCTGGAAGAAACTAAAAGTTGCTATCTATTTACCAGTTAATAATAATTGTTTCCTTACCTTGTTGAAACATACATAACAGTTTTGGAAATATGGCAAGTAACATCGCTTTTTTTTCAACAGTATTTATCTGAGAAGCTAAAGACGTACTTGAATTGTATTAACATACTGTATAATAGTAATTTTTTGTATTAATAATTGTATAATAGTAAAGGTTATATAATTTACTTTTTAAACTTTTTAAAAAATACGTCAAAAAATATTTTTGCTAAATTCAAACTTTAGAAAAAAAGAAAAAAAAAGAAACTAGTTTGAATTGCTCATAGTTTTTTTTATGTTAGTCAATCATAGAAATAATGCATTTATTTTAAATTTTCAAAATGAAGAACAGCATATTTAGAATTTTAATTCCTTAATTTTTTTTACATTTAACTCACGCAAAATAAACTTTATTTCAAGAAATTAAGTCTTCCGGTTCGAGATAGAGAAATTCATAATTATTTTCATGATGAAAATTATCCTTTTTGTCCTTTTCTGCGAATTTTTCATCAATAGTTTAGATGTTTCTCTCTCTTTTTTTTTTTCTCTTTGTTTCTGTCTTCTCCATTTGTGTTATGTAGCAGTTAAAAGATAATTTTAGATATTTGTTCACCTGAATCAGAATAACATACATTTATACATCCTTAAAATAACATATACACACTGGCCGATGAATTAGAAACCTATGTCGCACTATACAACAGCCTGGTGGCTAATTTACAATTCAGTGGCGTTTTTTAACTTGCTTTATGTTCGGAGATTTTCCTCTTTGCTACAGTTGATCGTAATTATAAGGCAAGCTTTCATTTTTTATTCCTTTTAAAATTTGTTACCTGAACTAAAAAAAAGTCCAGAATCAAGTTTTTTTTTATTTAAAAAAATGGTCAAATAGGAGAACTGGTCGTTTAAGGCATCTGGAATGGAAAATCGCGGCTCGGTGGGAATAGCATGATGTGGGACATGTTCTGTTGCTATGGAAGCGGTGCCCTGGTATTTTTCGATCAATTGGATCCCACATTGTTATATTTTTGCATCGAAGTTGACGGGTGTTTCATGAATGATAATGCAACTATGCATTGGCCACATGCTTTCCAAATTAGTTGACTGAACATAAATTTGAATTCCAATACCCTTCCTGGCCACCGCAAGCCTGGATCTTAATTCATTTTAACTGTGGTTACTATTTAAATTGTTGTTAACTGTTTAAATGTATGTTGGAAAGGCACATCCAACAACTATCTCCTTTTCCATCTAATTTTCTTAATCTTTAAGATTTCGTAGCCAGAGGGTGGTGATATTCTCTGGAGATAAATGTACTCCAAAAACCTTCAGAGTCGATGTCACACGAATGCAGGCTGTTATACATGCAAAAGGAAGTATAATAAAATATTAATTTAAGGTTTCTTATTCGTTAGACAGTGTGTGCTTAAGGAATAAAAATATAATTCTACAGTAAAATATAAATATCTTATAAAACATAATTAAAATGAGATTTTCTTAGGTACCTAATCTAAGTAACGACAGTCACAATCTAATTTATCCCATTATAGTCACGCAAACATCTCTGTTTCAAATATGATAAAATAATTTTTTTATTCATTTAATAGCTAACTATCAAAGAAATTTTTTTTCCAATGCCCGATTGACCCTCATCATTCAGGTATTAGTAGGGCATATTTTTTGACCACTCTTTCAGGGGCACCATATCAGAAAGATCAACGTTGCTGCTGCTCCCACAGAAAGGACAGATAGTACAGAGAATGAAAGAATATCCGTGTCTTGCCCGGGATTCGAACCCAGGATCTTTCTGCTGTAAGGCTCCCTGTCCACTATGGTCCTATGGTTGCCTCAAAGAAAGAATTAGAAGGTTAAAAAATTCTTAAATACTTTTTCTTGATTTTTTAAATGGACAATATAGTATTTTTATTGGCGATCACATGAATATCTACAATTGTTTTTCAACATAATTATAGTGTTCTGTTTATGAATTTATTTAAAATTGCTAAAAAAATATTGACAAGATAAAGGATAAGGGCGTAATAAGGGTGGGTGACTCCATAATATTTATACATACAGCTGAACATAACATATTTATAAAAACCAAATTCCGTGCATTTTTAATAATGTCCCTTTGTACATACTTCTATTAATCTCTTCAATTATAATGATGCTCCGAAATAACCTCTTTTAATATGAACTCCTTGCTGAAAGAGAAACAAAATCCACTTGATGTCACACATAAATATTTCTACGAGGAAAACACAAAAACTATTTTGAAAATTAACGAAATGCTAAGATAGAAAGCGAGATTGAAAATAGAAATTTCTTTGATTGCCGGAGAAAGCATTAAGGAGTTTTAAATGTGAATATTAGAAACACTTTGAATTTTCATCAGATAATCAAACAAAGTACAGATGATTTCTGTTCCGCCTAACTTCAAGGGATTTGTCAGCTTTTATTAGTATCCTTGTTTTTTGCTTCGTTTAAATATTATTTTGCAACCCTTAATGCTTCCTTGACTTCGTTTTTGTCAAAGATTTTAAAAATATTTATCAAAAATTGTTATTGCAAAACACCTTAGATTTGAATATTTCGAATAGCTTTCGTGGTATAAATTTTTCACTCGCATATTTAAAAAAATATTCATCATTTTTTTAAACACTCTTTGT